GGTAGGGGAATATTTTTATTGTATAATTATAAGTGTATAGGACAAATATATATGTATTTGCATGTGTATATACAATTTTCTCTCTCTTTATACAAACAGAAACGCAATTTATACAATTCTGTTGTATAAAGCGAGAGATGCGAGCACAGAGGGAGCGAGCGAGAAAGGGAGAGTGGCGAGCGAGAATTTGGAGGGAGAGAGGCGACTGGCAAACGTTTGCTACGAGGCGCAATTAAATCAAACAGTAGCTACTCCATTTATTTTAGATTATAAGTTTGTCATTCTGTACAATTATCCTTTTAAATATTTATGGTTTATTCAGTTCGCTCGAAATTTAATGGGTTTGGGACCTTTGGGCTGATTTGTTTAAAGTGATCTTCATTTTTACTCAATATGTACTAACACAATTTTAATCCACTAAAATTTATGTTAATTTTAATTTACTATTTGAGATTTACTTTGATTTTCTTATTTATCTACTTTTCTGGTACTATGTATCTTATAAGTTTGACATTGTAAAAACTCACCGTATCACAATAGCACAATTGTCATATAATGCAAACAATAACCATTTTTTAATTACTACATAATAAGATTTCAATATTTTTCAAAAGCTTTAAAAATAAAAATAAAAATTGAACGAAGGATAATTTTAAACAAAAATAAAATACATGGCTAAATCTAGATCTCGTATTGAAATATTTTGATCTATAAAATTCATTATGTTTTTGCATTTTGACGAGCTAATGGCTCCTTATTTCATGTTGAAGATTTACCTGAATTAAGAACTAATACGAGACTATATTTCAATAACAAAAAAAAAAAAAAATCCGAAAAAACGGAAATAGTATGAGGTGTAATTTAAAATTACTTTCACTATAAGAAGGCAAATTTAGACATTTTTTGTGTATGAAATGTATTTATATTTGTCATATTATTTTATTCAAAATGACAACGTACAAAATTGAATAAGATGACTAATCTTTTTTACTCTAATTTAGTAACTTTAGTTAATTGATGACATCAGTAACCGAATGTCCTTGGACCTTGAGTAGTAGCTGACACTGCCAAGGCACCTAAGTAGGTGCGGCTCAACCCTAAAATCACCGAAACAATGACTTAAAGCCTCCTGAAAAAGAAGGCATCAAAATTATTCAATGGTGGTAATATATGTAATTATAACTAATTATATATTTATTCTTAGTAATAATTTAAATTTTCTTAATGTAATTAAATTTGCAGTTACTTTCTACTTTGTAATTTGTCTGATTCACTTCAATTTGAATCAATCATATTTTAAAATTGGTTTTGTGAGACTATGTTCAATTCTTTGAAGTGTCTCTTCTCTGAGCTTTGGGCTAAAATCATCCTTCAAGTATAACCCAAATTTGGAGTACATCCTTATGGTATAATTATGAACAAAAAACATCCTTTAACTATCCCAAACATTGCAATAAACATCCTTCTGTTAGAGCCAAACACATATATAACCTCTCAAACTTACCCTCATTTTTCATTTTGGCACTCTATTTTGGCTTTGTTCTATTTTAACTCTAAGTCTCCATTTTTTATGTACCATTTAAACACGAAATACTAATTTTTATGATTTCTTTATTTTTATTTATGTTCTTCAATTGTTGTTTATTATTTTAAAAATCAATGTGTGTCAGTTAATTTTTGTAAAATAAAATTAAAAATTAACGAACGAACATCAATTTTTTTGAAATGATAATATGATTATTTTTTTGAGATTTTTTCTATATTCTGCATGAAAATAAATCGATGAAAGTGTTTTGATTTTCTTTCTTAAACACTCAAT